AGAGAGCAAATACTGGAGAGGGATAGAGAGGTAAGGGAGATGGTGGCTCTCTGTGAAGCAGAGAACCCGATGAGGGACTTGATGTGGGATCATGACCAGGGCCAAAGGCTGATCCTCAACCAATTGAGCCATCCAGGCACCCAGAATTTGTGAACTGATTAAAATTATCAAACCCACAAAATTAAAAATCTTTTAATTGAAGACTCAAATGAAAATCCTCAGCCCATCATATATTACTCACAAAAAAGAAAACTGAATTTTGATTCTTAGTCTTAGTTGTATAGTATGACCTTGGACACATCACTTCAAGGTTTCCTCTCAGTAAACACAGGCTATTATAATTTAGTTCCTCAATAGATTGTTCTGCAGATTAGCAGAGAAGTACCCAACACTGGCCACTCAAAGAACAGAAGAAACCCATTAGGTCAATCTAAAAACTAAGGTACTTAAATGAGAAGTGAGTCTATTATTTATCTCTACTTTTCAGCATTAAATGAATTTATTTTCCTTTCTAAACACAGTTTTCAGAACCATGCATTTAACACCAGAGATACTCAGAATTTACATAGTTGAAATATTATCCTCCCAATGCATACACTACCAAATTGTTTTAAAATGCTTACCAAAAATTTAAAAAAAAAATTCACAAAGATAACATTAGGAAGAAAAAAAAATCTTTTCACTAAAGTTCAACACGAAAATTTGGGGGGGAAGGGGAAGACACTAAAATGTGAAATGAGATACATACAACCAATGTTACCTTACTGAGAAAATATCAACTTTAAATTAATGGGGAGAAAAATTTATTGATGGTACAGTTAAGCATATAAAATACATCCATTAAAAATTAGTCACCTAAACTATGGTTAAAATAAACCACTATACAAAAAACATTATAAATGGCCAAGAGTTCTTGGTTTCCTTTCCCCCCTGCTATTGTATTTTTTTTTTTTTAAGACTTAATTATTTTAGAGAGAATAAGAGCATGTGCACCTGCAAGCAGGGGTAGGGGTAGAAGGAAAGGGAGAGAGGCAGACTCCCCCTTGGAGCACAAAGGATCCATGCAGGGCTCCATCCCAGGACCCTGAGATATGACCTGAGCCAAAATTTAAGAGTTAAGTCAGAGGTTTAAGCAACTGAGCCACCCAGACACCCCAAGAATTCTTGTTTTAAAAAACAAACAAAAAATGCTTTACATTGGGCGCCTGGGTGGCTCAGTGGGTTAAGCCGCTGCCTTCGGCTCAGGTCATGATCTCGGGGTCCTGGGATCGAGTCCCGCATTGGGTTCTCTGCTCCACAGAGATCCTGCTTCCCTCTCTCTCTCTCTGCCTGCCTCTCCATCTACTTGTGATCTCTCTCTGTCAAATAAATAAATAAAATCTTTAAAAAAAAAATGCTTTACATTAAAAAATTGGAATACCAAAAAAACCCCCCACAAAACTGGAAATACACACAAAATACTAAAAGACACCTTTTCCAGTTCTCTGTTTTCTTTTTGGTTCTAGAAATATTCTTAAATTGACAAATTTAGATTTACAGTTGAAAACATTTTTAGCTTTTATGGGAAACATGAATTATCAAAATACAACTGACAAAATCAAAATGTATTAAGACAAAAGCACTGCGGTGCTGATCGTATTCTCTATGTTGACTTGCATGGTGGGTAGGAGTACATGTATTTGTTAAAAGTCATCAATTATACTTCAATCAAAACAATTCGTCAAAGTGTACAGATAAAAGTCAGGCCATGGCTACTACCTAAAAGCTCTACAGATCACAGCCAATCCAAATTAAGCCCCAAGGTTTTAAAAAAACTGTTAAATGAATATGAAGTAATTATGGCTGAAGTATATAGAGTAACTAAGACTTATTTTAAGATATTGTACATGAGGTTTTGTCTGTTTAAATCAAACTATTAAGTGATTAATGGGGTAGGATTTCCAAGTAACTCTGACTTCCTCTGCCATGTCATTTTGTAATGTTTGAACTTCTAGACTTTGGAAACTAAAATGGTTTTAAAGCATGGAGAAAGTCACAGGTTATAACAAATTCCAAAGGATCTCCAAACATTTTTACTTGCTTAGGTTTTAAAGCCATACACGTAATACTGGACCATTCTCCTGGAGCTTAGAATCTTGCCATTCCCCCCCACCTTTTTTTTTTTTTTTAAGTTTATTTGCGAGGAAGAACGCATCCGTGTAGGGGAAACAAGCCAACTCCACCGAAACAGAGCTTGATCCCACCACGAGAGATTATGACCTGAGCTAAAAATCAAGAGTCAGGCGCTCAACTCACTGAGCCACCCATGTGCCCTCACATCTTTCTTGTGACTGAATTTCATCTGCAAGTTTTACTGTTTAAGTCTACCACAATTCAGTAAAACACTACTGACTCCCCTCCCCACTGTGCCCTACTTTACCTGTGGGGTTCAGTCTACCCAGTGGTAACTGTTGAAAAACGGTTCTGATGCAAACAGCATCATCCTAAAACCCCTTTTTACTTGTGATCCAGACCACTATACTAGATTACCCTAACCGATTTTGTTCAGACCGCTTATCAGTCCTCAAAGGTACCAATTTTTAGCAGAAAAATGTAATGTGAGAAAATTACCAGTAAGTTGCAAACATTTCCTTAAAAAATGAGACTCTTTGGGGCGCCTGGCTGGTTCAGTCAGTGGCACATGCATCTCTGCCATGACGGTATTTCAGGGTGCTGAGGAGAAATGGGGGAGTAACCACGAACAGACAGGGTTTCGTTTTGGTTGATGATGTCCTAAAAACGGACCGTGGTGATAGTTACACACCTCGGTGAATATACTAAAACCAGTGAATTTTAACTTTAAATGGATGAAGTCTGCAGTAGTGGACTGTATCTCAACAGAACTGGTATTTACAAAAAAAATCGCCAAATGTGGTAAAATATCATTAACTAATGAATACAGGTAATGAGTAGTACATGTTGGTATTTTACATGTTGGTATTGAGCTGTTTGAAATTTTTCTATTTTTAATGTTGTTCCATTTTTTTTTTTTTTTGATAGAGTAACTTACAAACTAGAAAGGTTCTCTTACCCGTATGAGTTTAAACATGCTGAATGACATTGTTTTTTACCTGAAAAATAGCTTCATTTTTCATGTGTGCTTGCTTTCTCAGGAAAACGATTTCAAGTGTGGTAATCCCACCAATTTTTTAAAAACTAACTTTTCACATTTCTAGGTTTTGCAGACAAGGTTAAGTTGTTCCACTCAGGAACTCAATACCAAGATAATTTATCTTAAAAGTTTATGGCTTCTGTGAAATGGATCTATGCAAGGGTTAATCACTGAGTTTTCCTTTTTGTCTAAGTCCTCAATTGCTTTAAGAAACTATGCTGCATCTTAGATGTATTCACTACTAACTAAACACATCTTCTAAAAAAAAAAGGGTAGTCCAATTTAATTAAATGATCTACTTCAAGTTGTCAGAATAAAAATTTTAACAAGAACATGGATAATATCTGTCTTGGTCATTCCGTGAAGTAAGTGCTCTTCACTTATCCTCAATCCCAAAGTTATTACCCCCATGGAGAGAGAAACTAAAGCACAAAGAGATTAAGTTGACTTATCCAATGTCACAAAGACAGCAAATAATGGGACCAGAACTTGACCCCAGAATCCCTTCTTCAGTGCTACTTTAACAGCCTACTGAATTAACTATCAAAAGTGAATTGAACTTAGGGACTACAAGGTAGTCTTACCTGTATGAGTTCGAACATGTTGAACGTAATTATTTTTTCTATCTGAAAAATAGTTGCATTTTCCACATGTGTATACTTTCCTTGGAAAATGGTTTCTTAAGTGTTTCCTCCAGTGATATTCGCTTACTGTGGTATACGTGCAAATGATGCACTTGTAGACTCGCTCATTATCCCCAGCTCTGGTGTGGTGTTTCAGATGAGCAGTATAGTGATCATACCGATTGGTATTATAGCCACAGCGGTCACAGCGAATGGGGCCCTTGGAGAAATCTCCCTCCTCTGCAGTGGAAGACCCAGATTCTCTGGCTTTTGCTTGCTTCTCTGCACTTTCTTCCACGAAAAATTTCTTGGCACTATGAACTCTGATATGATGCACAAACTGCTCTTCAGATTCGGCTTCATACTGGCATGGCTTACAGCGAAAAGGTTTGCTCTTCAAGTTCTTGCATTTGTCCTCCGCTCCAGGTGTTTCAGGGGGAAGATCTTTATTTGAGCTGTAAATTTCTGGGGCAGCTGATACCTCAAACACAGGCTGTGGTTCTACAACACTGAGTTCCAAACTTTCCAGTTCCATATTTTCCAATCCACTGGGTTCACCTTTGATTTCAGGAGACTCATCAAGTCCTTCTCCATCACTATCTGAAAAATTGTTATCTCCGACAGGCATCAATTCTGCCATCTGTCTTTCTTCACCAACCAGGTAATCACAGCAGCTGCCATTTACTTCCCCAGTTAAGGCCACATTTGCCAACATGATAAGCTGAGGCGCAGCCAATTCAGCTTTGGAGAGGTCATGCAAGTCATACATGTCGTTAGGCAAGGCCATGCCAATGTTGCCACTGCCCGTGAACAGCCCTCCTCCTCCAGAAGACTGGCCCATTACCTGGGTGGCCATGACTGTATTCTGAATTCAAAATAAGACAAAAAGTACAAAACCAGTTTAAACACAACATCCAAAACATTGCTCCAATACTTCATTAACTTAAAAAAGTTTTTTTTCAAATATAATCTTTCAATACAATGAGCTTTGTTAATCGCTAAAATTAAGGCTTTTAAGTATTTTTGCACTACCAAATTTTCCTTATCGCAATCACCAAAAAAATCTCTATTATCCCTAGGAAAATGTCTATCAATTGTCTTACTTAACTCATCCATCAACTAGGCCTAGCACTGGCATGTCTTCCCTCAAGCACTTTCAATTTTTCTGGTGAAAAAATAAGTAACTTCATTTTTATGTTAATTAAAATTATTTTTCAATCCAATACATGAATAGTAAACTGTTGTCCTCTCAATTCCCCCTTTCCACAGTTTACTGGTCAGAAAAGGGAGAACCCCAAATACCATACTGTTTATTTGTTAAGTGCAAACGTATCTGGACAGTAGAAGCCTGTAGTAACTGGTCAACTGAACTGAATTTCATATAAACTCAACTAAGTCCAGAAAAATAAACCACTGTGAAAAAGTCCCTTTTTAAAAGAAAAAGAAAGAGCAGAACTTTTTTCCTTGTTTAAAAAAAAAAAAAAAAAGGGAAGCTCCGTGTATTCAAAACTTCACAAATTAAAGAAACTTTCAAACCCTCTAATAACCGTACAACTCAACCCGACAATCAGCAACTTTCTTGCCTTGTGCTTGACTTGGCCTACTTGCTTAGGGGAAGCCATTACAAGATCACCTTCTTGAAAACATGTTGGGCTTTTAAAGTCGCCTTAACCACGTCATTTTTCAATCTAGAAGGTGCTATTCTCCAACTGAGTGCTGTCTTGCAAATTAGAAAAAGCAAAATTAAGTGGCAAGCACTCAAAAAATAGAATCAAACTCCAAACCCCAAAAGCAGTCCGTTTCACCCAGGTGCATTTAAACACAAACCGACTGAGTTATAATGTACCAAAACTTGGAATCAAATGCCATCACAGAAAACAAACTGAGGGCCATAGCAGTCCCAGGGCTTAACAACCCAGGCTACTCGGCAATTTACCCAAACATCGACTTTCCTAATACCCCCCTAACCCTAACTACCGTCCCTAAAGGAATTTTCACGTTTGTCAGGAAGGCCGTCTAAGCACAGCCCGAAAACCCAACGTGTTGCACGAATTCCTATGTGCGGCTGCCACCAGCGCCTGCCTCGGCGGCGGCATTCCTGACTGAAATAGGCATTCGGCCATTTTCTCAAAATACCAAACACAAAGCAGCTCTTTGCAAACTCGGGCGCTCTCGCTTCCTCTCGGCTGGGCCCGCTCACTGCACACATTTACACACCAACTCGCGGGAGTTGCCCCAACACTCGTCCCGAAGCTTCTCCTGAGTTCCCCAACACTAAGAAAAGCAAGGTGGGCAAACTCGGGGCGCCGTTGGGCCAGACCAAGTCTTCCCCATTCAGGGCTTGCCCCCTCCCCGGCCCGCGGGCCCGAGTCCGGGAAGAGGAAGGAAAGTTACCGCGTTGCCGGCGTCCTAGCTCCTCTCACCGCCCCTGGGCTCACCCTCCGCAGAGGGCCCGGGAGGCTCCGCGGGCGCCCTCCCGAGGCGTCGGGCCCCTAGCGCCGGAGGGGGCCCCCACGCGCGCTGGCCGCCTCCCCCGCGCCCCGGAAGTTTGCGAACTCACTCCCCCACAGCGCCCCGCGGGACGCGCGCCCCGGCCCCGCCAGCTCGGGCGCCGAGGTGGCCGGGTGCGGAGGACCGAGGCGGCGGGGCGGCCCGAGAGCAGAAATCGCTGTCCAGCCCCATTGGCGGAACCGCCCGGGCCGCGGGGCTGACTCAACCCGCCCGGCCGCACTCAACGGCGCCTTCCGGCGAAAGGGAGAGGCCGGAGAGGGAGGGGGACGCGAGGGCCGCGGGCCGACGAGGGGCTGCGGCGGGACCTGGGAGCAGGAGAACGGGGAAGAAGTTTCAGGACCAGCGCCACAAGCAGCTCCGCTCCTCAGGACTGACTCGAAGGACGCCCGGGCCCGTGCGGAGGCGACGGCCCGGCCTCGACTGGGGAGGGGGTCCTGGCTCCACACCGCTCCCCAAGGACGCCCCCGGCCCAGCCCCCGGGCCGCGCCGGTGTAACCCGATCCCGCTCGGCCGCCCGCCCCCGCCCGGCGCTGCGGCCGCCGCCGGAGCCACAGTATCTGCAAATCAGCCCTGGACAGCGCCTCGCTCCGCGTCCTTCCGCGCCCTCCCCCTGCCACTGCCGCCGCCGCCGCCGCCGCCGCCCGGCCGGCCCTCCCCCACCCCGACCGAACCCCCAGCCCTGAGCCGCGCTTACCGGCCTTCCTAGGCGAGGAGGGGCGGGAGACCCGGCGCCGCCGCTCCTTCTCTGACTACTTTTCTTTGTTGCTGGAGTTTCGGGGGGAGGGGTGGGGGAGGATGGAAAAGTTGGGCGCTGGGGACGTCGAGGCCCGCAAAGGCCCAGGAGTGGGACTGCAGAGAATGCTTAGGCCGCCGGCTCTCGCTCTGCCGTCCCGGCCACCGCCGTCGCCGCCGCCGCCGGGGTCCGTGGCCCGGGGCCTCGGCGGCGCTTGCTCTGCTGCTGCGCCGCGAGCTCGCGGGAGCCGCACATTCCAGCACAGGAGGCTGCGCCGCGCACCCAGCCCGCGCCGCCGCCGCCGCCCGCGGGACACGCCCCCTCCACCGCCCGCGCGCGCCCGCGGGACACGCCCACCCCGCCGCCCGCGCGCGTGGCCGCCCGGCGCGCCCCGCCCCTTGGCGAAGGGGTTTGCTCTGGGCCCTGGCTGGGCTGTGGGCGCGCCTACCCGGAGCCGCACCTAATCCTCCCGGCCCCTCACTCGTGCTCTTACGTCAAAAAAGAGGCGAGCCCCGGTCCCTTTCTCGATTTCTTTCATAAACAAACGACAGAAAAGTTGCCCCTAGCCCTGGCGTGCAAGGATGAGAATAGAGCTGTTAAAAGAAAAATCTGCAGGCTTTGACCGTTCTCTTTAGAACCACCGTCTAAAGCGTTTCGAGTGTAAAGCGCTCGAAAATACGCTTTAGAATCTCTTGAAATCTCCACCCATAGCCACCCTTAACTAATTAAACGTTAAGCTCACGCGGTAAAAACGCATCCCAAATTTTAAACAATAAGCGAAGAAAATGCAGCCAGTTTCTGAGTTGTGAGAAGAAAATGTCTCGGTCAGATCACGGACTCAGAACTGAGGGGACAAGTCCATAGACCTGGCCCGTAGCAGGTCATTCCTGAGCCTTCAAAACACGATTTCAGTGGAGCAATTATCCTCAGTTTACAGGACAGTAAAGCAGAGGGTGAGGACATGGAGGCTGCTTGGTCACCACGTGTGGGAGAGGAACCTGGCTTCCCTGTTTATAGAGTGGCGCAACCATGCAGAATGGTTAAAAGCATAGTAATACGCTTTTAAAAGAGAAAGAGCGGGACGCCTGGGTGGCTCAGTTGGTTGAGCGGCTGCCTTCGGCTCAGGTCATGATCCCAGCGTCCTGGGATCGAGTCCCACATCGGGCTCCCTGCTCATCAGGGAGCCTGCTTCTCCCTCTGCCTCTGCCTGCCATTCTGTCTGCCTGTGCGTGCTCTCTCTCCCTCTCTCTCTCTGACAAATAAATAAATGAAATCTTTAAAAAAAAGAGAAAGAGCTAGTCTCATGTACCCCTTACCTTCTGTCTACAACAAATGCCTTCTTTCTTAGTCTGCCTTTGAACCCTAAATCATCATGCCCATCCCCAAAAATTTATTAACTTCCTTAAACCCCTTAGTTTGGCATTCAAGGCCCTGACCAACCTGATCTAGATAAATTGGACTATCACTAGGATTAAAATAGAGGTAGCAGCAAGTGTTGTGGGGGTTCAGAGTAGGGAAATGATCTCTAGCTACCAGAATCTAGATACTTCTCACACTACAGCATGACCCAATCGTCCCTTACAGAATTAGATGGAAAGTAGCAGAAGGAACATTTTACACAGTGAAAACAGCACGCTCAAAAAACCATCAGCTGAGACTTGCCTAACACCTCCTCCAGCTCCCCCAGTTCCTTCTCTTTAAAGTTCCTTCACTCATTTCTCTTACAACACAGCTTCCACACTCTTCAGTTTCCTAGTCTACACCCCAGTAGGCTGTAGACTATATATTAGAACAATATCTTATTAATTAATGCAGCTTGTCCCCCTATATTAGAACAGTATATTATTAATTAATGCAGCTTCAGATGCAAGATGGAATAAAGGCCCTAAGGGCTTAATCACCAAGGGTCCAGTTACTTAATATTGAATGCAAGCACTCCCCTGTGAACCAAACTTGAGAGGTATTCATTTTCATTGAACCAAAGAGAAAGAAATGAAGAAATGGAAGGAGGGAGGGAGAAAGAAAGAGACAGAGAGGAGAGGAAGAGATCGAGGGAAAGTAAGAAGGGAGGGAAGAAGGAAGGAAGGAAGGGAGGGAAGGAGGGAAGGAAAAAAAGAGGGAAAGGAATGAGAGAAAAGAAGAGAAGGAAGAAAGAGAAAGAGGAAAGAAAGGACAAGAAAGAACTGTTTTAGCCTGCTACAAATTTGTCTACATTTATTCTTTTTTAATTTCTTTTTCTTTTTAACTAAAATCTAATGTGAGTTGCATGGCTTTTTTAGATGCTGTAGCTCAGGGAACAATTCTGGCCTCTGTCAAAGCCCTCAAAGGCATAAATTATTTTCTTTCTCTTTTTTTATATCCAGAAAGGCAAAAATGAAATATCTCTTCTTAAACTTACTAGATACATGTCCTTCATTTCCTCAGTCTGACTGCTTGCTGGAAATGTTTTATTAATTGCGAATTTATTCCCACATATTGTGATGCAAAAAGAAGAATGGCAAATTGGCAGCTGCATTCATTTAAAATTAGCAGAGGCCCTTGTTCAAGAGATGGCATATTCAGAGTGACCTAAATTATCATGACATGAAGGGCACAGGTCAAATTCAAGGCCAAGTTACAAATCAATAGAAAATTTCCTTGGGGAGAAGCTAGTGCTATGAACTTGAATTCTTAATTGTTTTTCAAGAGACAGTATAATTTGCTGCATCCAAAATTTAAGATCTTCTGCAAGATAAAGACTTTGACATGTGAATGAGTTCTAGTTTTCTTATTTTGAGAATATGGATTCTTTCCTATATATTTAATTCATCAATTTTTCAATTTTAATTATCATATGTTCTTAATAACATTTTCTCTGGAGATTTACTTCAAAAGTTTGATATAATGTTTTTGTGCTTTCATATGCTTTTTATTCCTATCCATGTTTCATTTTTTTTTCCTCTAGAACAGACCTTAGTTTGGCTGAACCCACATGAATGTTATACTGAAGTTCAATCATCTGCTTTACATGTTACATAAACTCAAGGTTTGTGACTGAAATTGGGGTACAACTTCTCCAATATGATGTTAAAAGATTTTGCTTCTACTCTTTTGCTGTCACCAGCCAAAGGGAAGACACTGGTGTGTCAAGGACTAACATTTTGGGTGTTTCTCCCACTGTCTGCATTTTCAGTAGTACCTGTCACTATTCACACTTCTGGGAATCTCTTCCCCACGTAATTGATCCTACAGGGACTGAACCCTGGCTCTGAAGTTTGTGCTCTGTGAGTTAGCCCAATTTCTATTTTGCATTTGGTTCAAGTGAACTTGAAAGACAACACTGCTCTAGTTTCTCTATAATTTTATTCTGAAACTTTTTTTTTAAAAAGATTTTATTTATTTATTTATCTGTCAGAGAAAGTGAGAGAGAGAGTAAGCGCACAAGCAAGCAGAGTGGCAGGCAGAGGCAGAGAGAGAAGCAGGCTCCCTGCCAAGCAAGGAGCCCCATGCGGGACTCAATCCCAGGACCCTGGGATCATGACTTGAGCCGAAGGCAGTGGCTCAACTGACTGAGCCACTGAGGCATCCCTATTCTGAAACTTTTAGTGAGAGTTAAAAAAAAGGCGGGGGGGGGTGGTTGTGACAGAAAAAACACTGGATACTCTGGTTTCTCTTCAGATCATATATATGTTTTGCCTTTTACTAAAGATTTCTGTGGAAAGGAATGCCTTTGAGTCTTAAGCCAATTTTTTGGGTCCTTGTTTCATCAAGTTTACAAAAAAAAAAAAAAAAAGAGAGAGAGAGATTGAGGAAGGCAGGAAGGCAAAAGAGAAAAGAAAAGAAAGAAGTGAGTGAGCACAGGGGTACCTCGGTGGCTCAGTGAGTTAAGCCTCTGCCTTCAGCTCAGGTCATGATCCCAGGGTCCTGGGATTGAGCCCCACATGGGGCTCTCTGCTCAACAGGGAGCCGGCTTCCCCCCCACCCCACCCCTCCCTGCCTCTCTGCCTGATCTCTGTCTCTAAAAAAAAAAAATAAAAAAAAAAAAAAAAAAAAAAAGAAGTGAGGGAGCGCAGGTCAGGTAGGCTAGAGAACTATTTTTCCTTCTCTCTACCTCTTTAATAAGTCACTTCTCTTGAGTTTTCCCTGTAAAATGAAAAGGTTGAACTGTGATGTCTAAAATTCTCAGTATCAGGGCACCTGGGTGGCTCAGTGGGTTAAAGCCTCTGCCTTTGGCTCAGGTCATGATCCCAGGGTCCTGGGATTGAGCCCCACATCAGGCTCTCTACTCAGCAGGGAGCCTGCTTCCCCCTCTCTCTCTGCCTGTCTCTGTCTCTCTGTCTACTTGTGATCTCTGTCAAATAAATAAATAATCTTTAAAAAATTTAAAAAAAATTCTCAGAAGCCTAGGGTGCTTTTTATTCTGTTTGAAATTTCAAATCAGGTGCAGTTTTTCCTAGTACAATTATATACATTTTAAGTTCAATGTACAGGTGTCTCTGGTTTCTTCTCTATGGTTCTCTTTTGCCCTCTGTGGAAACCCACCAGTAGCCTTCAGCCATACCAGGCTTAAAGACTGGTGTTGTCTGAAGCCAGGGACCTGAGGCCTGGTCTAGCTCTATCCAATGCAGGATCATCTATCTATCCTAGCTTCCAGCAGGACCCTGACCTTATGTTCTGGTTCTGACAGCTGGAACGCAATGTCTTATCCACTACAGTATCTGCAGCTTGAGGCACAGAGATGCCCCCTAAATGCTGAGAGAAGGAAGGGAAGTGAACAAGGGAACTCCAGAATGAGCTGGGCTCCCTCCTGCCCGCTCCCAGAGCCCAGAACATAGTTTGAACTACTCTCCCCTTGTTCCTCTTCCCTTCAGCACCACTGGCCTCCTTGAAGCCCAGTTGTGGTTCCTTGTTCTGCTTGCCATTCCTCTTTGGAAACACTGTCCCATACCCTCTATCCATGCTGCTTATTCCTGCCCCTCCTGATTCAGATGTCATCTTCTGATTTACCAAGTTTTTAGAATTACAGTTTCCTCCCCTTTGCATCCAATCCTGCTGTCCTTCCTGCTGTTTTTCTTATTAGCATTTATCACTAACTAGCATGCTATGCATTTTATTTGCCTTATTTATTTTCTTTCCTTACTAGAACTTAAGCTGCAGATGAGAAATTGTTCTTTATCTCCAGTGCCTATAACACGGTCCCTGTTCAACAAGAGGTTGTGAAATGAATGGCTGGGGGATCTCAGCTTGGTTTTGGCAGTCTTTCAAAGTGAGGACACACACCCCTTACGTATATCAGTACCCCGAATTCAGTACCCATCACAGACTTCCCTCATGCTAAATGCTAGCCTGCCTCTCTGAATCTCCCCTAAAATATTCCCTTCTCAATAATTAATTATTTGTTGAAGGAGTAAAGATATGCTCCGGGACTCCTGGTCCCTGTGGTCTGCCTTTTTGTTGCAAATTTCCCTCTCACCTCCTCTGTGTG